TAAATACTTATTTTTATGAAAGTTAGTTCTCCATTTTTAGAAAAAGAAAGAAATTTCTTGAAAAGTCTGTTTATTTAATACATGTTATATATGAAATTTATAAAAAAAATTAATGTGTTTTACTTATGCTTTATTATAGATGCTTTCAATTTCTGATACGCAGAATATATAATAATTCTTAAACTTAGAAATATATAATTATTCCTAATTGATTTAATTCATGCAGAATATTTTCCACAATCTTGCATTCTTAACATGGTTCAAAGAAAAATAAATTATAATATTTTTATGAATAATCTATCAAGACTATAAATAATTGTTCATAATTCGTTCAATATTTTTGATATCTATTTATTCATTTAATCGTTTTTTTATTTGTATTTTTTCTGTTCTTTTAATTGATTTTCAATTTCTTTAAGTTACTATTGAACATGCAATTATCTAATGATTATTAAATATTTTACTTTTATTATTTTTCATATTCTAAATCACTAACTTTTTACAACAAAAATACAAATTCTTTAAATATTGAATAAGATGCACCTTAAACTTGGAATTTCTTAGATTCTTTAATACATTTGTGGAGCACTCTAAAATTATAATACATATTTTACTTCTTCAATTTGTCAATCTTAATCTAATTCTCATTATTTATTTAATTTCCGATTGGATATGAACTAGTTTTGTTTCTAAACATTATATACTACAGATGACTCTAATTTTCTATTTTAAATTTAAGTTATAAATGATTCATTATATGTTAACTAGAACATATATAATTTTGTTAATTTAATTGCTAAGGATATATGCTGAAATTAATTTAGTCTTCTCTTATTAATTGTAAATTGTTAATAGAATCAAATTGATAGTTATAAATTGATCTACTTTCCAATTGTAATCTGATATTTTATAAACTCTTAACCTAAATCTTAAAATTGATTTCTTATGACCTTTCTTCAATTTATGTAATTATGTTGATTTTTTCTTCATCTTTATCAGCCTATTTTTCATTTTAGGTCATTTACTAATTATTTTGTTCACTTATTATAGTGCCTTAAGAAATATTCAATTATTCTTCCAATATTTGTAATTATTCTTCCTATTTAACATCCTTCTCAAATTTTTGTTCTATCATATAATTATCATCTTTCTTTTCTTGAGTTTCCATTATACTTTATTTTTATTCTTTACCAAAATTTTCAATTGAAATTTTTTCGTCATTAAAATTTTCTTAAGAAATCTCACTTTCCCAATCATTATTTTCAAATTTAATAAGGTTTTCTATAATAGTATTTATAACTTTTCTATTATGGTCTTATCTTAAATTTAAGATTAATAAATTTTGATTCAACAAAGTTATATATTAATTAATAAATGTTTAAATTTATTTGTTTTAAACATCTTTAATGTATTTGCACAAGATTTTATAGATATCTAATAATAATTCATTAAGCTAATTTGCATTAAAGTTGAGGTCAACTTTAATCTAATTATCATTACAAAAATAAGTAGATATAAAGTATTAAAGTAATACATTTTAATCATCGAAAATTATAAAATTTATTTCATCATTAAATTCAGAATTTTATTATTATTATTATTCTTATTCTAATTGTTATTATTATTTTTATTCTTATTATTATTCTTATTATTATTCTTATTATTATTATTCTTATTATTATTATTATTCATATTCTTATTATTGTTTGTATTATTATTCGTATTCTTATTATTATTATTCTTACTATTATTATTATTATTATTATTATTCTTACTATTATTATTATTATTATTATTCTTATTATTATTATTATTATTATT